GCTCGGTATTGGTGGCTCTGGAGCAGCAGCAGCAGCCGGCCAGGCCACAAAAGCGCTTTTTAATGAATTCTGATTAACAGAGAGCAAATTTCCCCCGCCCCAGCCGCCTCCACAGCGTTCCTAAAAACGGGGCCTGCTTGGACGCCTATGCATCAGCCGAATCGTCCGTGAATGTATAGTGTCGTTAACAAAACATAAGCCAGTGGTCATATCTTCACGGGAAAAGTTAAATCTCTTTATGTCGTTAAATAAAGATACCTCGTCCAGTCATTAAGAAGTGATTAGCTTATCTAAGAAATAGCAGCGCTAGTCCTGTCAGACCAGCACACAACCACTAAAAAGAGCAGGGATGGCATGTCACATTAGGCTAATTATAACGAGAAGAAAAGACAAGCAGAAGCATAAAACAGCCATGTGGACACTGTTTTGCCGGATTTTTTTCCTTTGCATGGGGAAAGGCTAAGCACAGATATTCCTTATCTGATACTCTGCAAGACAGAAATTTAAGTATTAAGCAATTCCTCTCTGGGTTTTACTTGTTTAGTACCAAACGTTTAAAATATATGTGTGTATATATACATATATATATATACATACACACACACGTACAGTCCTACAGTTCATGTGAAGCAGTGGCCAAATCCTGATACGGGGGAACACAGTTCTTACAACTAACAAACAGATGTCCTTATATCTTTGCTTAATCAGCTTGCAGCAAAATGGCAAGCCTTGGAGTCTTTGCCGTTGACCTCTAAAGGAAAGAGCAAGGCAGCACGGTCCATGCTGCAAACCTCCTGCTCTCCCCCTTGCTATGGCAGACCTCCTCCTCTTCCTCCTCCTCCTCCTCTTCCTCTTCCTCCTCCTCCTCTTTCTCCTCCTCTTCCTCCTCCTCCTCCTCCTTCTCCTCCTCCTCCCCCAGCTCCTTTCTCTCCCCGAGCAGAGAGGGGTCTGGACGCAGCCAGCCACGGCTTTGCCCACATCGAGACCAACTGAGCAGCCACAGAAGTTTGTGAGGTTTTTCTGAGACTCCATACTCCATTTCTGGCCGATTCTGACCTGTTCACCATAATCACTTTGCCCAAGCTCAGGCAAGTCTGAAGACATTTGCTTTTTAACAGCAAGAAGCTCAGCACCCTTCCTATTATTTCCATCCGATTTACACCACTGCAAGGCTTACACGGCCGCTGCTATAAACGTTGGACAGTAACTTCCGGGGTGTCCGTCTCCTCGATGCACTTGGTGGCCCCCAGTGCCTCCGTGGAGTATCGTCGTTCCTCCAGCAGCCACGCAGTCCCCGAGCCCTGCAACGCGAGATTTGCAAGACAAACTTAACAGCACGTTTGTTGAATCTCATTTGAGGCTTTCCTGACGCTTTGCATTTCACTCCCAAATTACAGTCTAGAAAAAAAGCTCGACTTCCAAGACCAAAAAACAAAATCCAGCATACCCAGCCAACAGAGGTGACCGCTGTGGATGCTCCTCCTAGTTTTAGGTGTATAAACTGTATCAGTCTTTGCTCACTCAAAACAGAGGAGCGATGCCATCCTCAGGACGTTGAGGGCCCAGACTGAAATCCCTCCTCCGTGTTTCAGCAGAAATTCAGCCCCCCCGGGTGCAGTCTGCAGAGAAAGGGGGACACTAAACGCAGTTTGAAACCTGCAAAAAAACTGGCACTGAAGGGACCTTGGAGGCAGAAATTGGCTGCCAGGCACAGTGACAGCAGCCGGCTGTGCTCCCTCGGACCGTGCCCGGACGGGACGTGGCCGGGGCGCTCGCAGGGAAGTCACCCAGCCAAACCGAAGGGCCGTCCAAGCGCCGTCCAAGCGAGCAGGGGACAGAGCGCCTGGCTGAATGACCGCCCCAGCCAGAAATATTTTGCTGTTAGGGGACGAGGGAGGTGGTTTCCCACTTTTAACGTTTGTACCGCTTTGAAAGCTTGGATTTGCCAAAAAGTAATATTAATAATGATGGCAGCTCCTACTTTCCTTGAGGCAATGCCAATTTTAATGCATTTTTTTAACATAACTGTAGTGTTATTGAGGAATGAGAAGTAAATGATAGATACTTTAATGTAATATGAGTCAATACGTATTTATATGTGCTTTATGACTTAATCAATATTGCTACATTAGCAAGAATAAATATGGTGTTTCCTTTTCTGGCCCTGGAAAGAACAAATAAGGAAAGTCACATTATGAATTTTTGGAATGAATAAAATCACCGCATTTCCCAGACGATTCAGTAATTCTCTGACATTCATTTGTTCTCCGGAGCACAGCAACTACTTCCCTGGGCAGGGCGCTGGACAACAGGCTGCACCAATATACTGAACTTACGGTTGGGGGGTTCAAATTTTTCAAATAAGGCTCCCTAAGAGGAATAAAAAAAATAATAATATTAACGATAATAAAATTAATAATAATATTTTTTTAAAAAAGCAGGCCCCAGTACAGAGCATTCAGTCTGGCATCCTGAGTCTCAGGATAAAGGGCTTAGCACCCTGAGCTTCCAATAGTTTTACCCGAAGGACATAAGGAGGCCACAGCTCACGTCACCCTCAACGTGTTACTGCAGACAACACATTTCCCTGGCCTGTGCGCAGCCCTGCAGCATACCAAAAAGGAAAATAAAGTTTTCCCAGTTTAATATGTCTAAACCCATTCACTGCTGGAAAAATATCTATTGCAAAGCAGCCCGGCACAGCCCAACACGCCTCCGGCTGTCCCACGGCGCAGCAGGGCACAGCAGGACCATTTGGCTGGGGAAAACCTTCAGGTCCGCTCCCGCAGCACCTCTCGCTGCCACCGAGCTTCGGATATCTCCTCGGGGACCGGAGGCGGCACGACATAGCTGATGGGATGCAGGGTAAGAATTAGAGTAAGGGTTTTCGGCAGGCAAAAAAAAAAAAAAAAAAAAGTCTCACTGCTACGCTGCGTCCAAGCTGGCCATTCGCTTCACCAGCTGTGGTTTTACAGCCAGGCCGCAAATTCTTTGGGGCTGAAACAAGGTCCTTGTGCTGACTTAGCACAGAGCTAAACACAGAGGCTGGGGTCTCTGTGCTTGCTGGGAAGGTCATGCTGCAGTAACCTGGGTAAGGCGATCGGCAAGGCCAAGATTTCATACGGAAAGGTGGCAGCAAGGTGAAACTGCTTCTCACACCCGGGATAACCAGGTGTCTTTTCACCATGCACCACCACATCGCCTTGCTCCTGATGGACATGTACTGGCAAGGGTAGCCAGCATGTGCAAACCGTGCTTGAGCACATTGATGAGGACGTGGGAGAAGACCGGTTTCTGATGCTTGCTTTCCTATCCCCATACCATGCCAGAGGAGGGAAGCTCAATCTGATCGGTATTACTGGGAGCCAAATCCAAGTGACATCTGAAAAAAACCTCAGAGTTTGTTCCCACCCCAAAGTCCCCACCATCCAAGGAAGCAATATGCGTTTCTGCTAGGACTTGCAAGAGTGATGGCACTTCTGGGTGGGGGTAGAGGGTTTCACCCTTTCTCCTACTCATGGTTTAGTCCTTCCAGGACCTACCGAAATGGTGCAGAGTAGCACTGGTCTAACAAAATGGCACTGGAAAACTGCTTATGGGGTTGGTTTCGAAGACGCCACAAAGACTCTTAGCCAAGGTACTTCCCAGAGAGTTTAAGACAGGATCTTTATCTCTCCCGACTAAAGGCGTTCAGAGCAGGGCTCACCAGTGAAGCGGGCTCCTTCTTAGCCTTTCCCAGCCAATACTCACCCAAACGACAGCCTGAGTCCAGCTCCATGAGGACGTGCTCGTCTTTCCTTCTGGTCAGCTGCAGGCCAGGCTGTCAGCGGAGACTGTCACGGTGCTAAACTGAGCCTAACCGCGAAACACACGAGCTGAAGCTGAGATAGCTGTGATTTGGAGTAGTTTGATGTGTTCCCGCTGGAGAGGGAAGGCTGCTGCATGAGCCCTTCATGCCAACTGAGATCAACCAGCCCAGAGAGCTTAACCTCTGGAAATTCAGCTACTGCTCATTACTTCTGCCTTTGGCTGGAGTCGCACTGGTACCGTCTCCGTCTTCCGCTGTAGGCCTTCTGAGCTATTTAAACCAAGAACTTCTTCCGAGAGCTGTGATTACAGTCTTGTCCAGAATAGCAAAAGTTCCTGCTAGACCTACCTTGGTTCAGCTCTGGCTGCATTTCCTGGTCAGGAGCTGCCTGCTCACGCCCTGTAAGAATTACGTGCAGCCTTTTCCAAAGGCAATGGACTTGCCCACCTCTTACTACTAAAAATCCTAATGTATCCCCACGGTAATTCTTTTGACCCCCTGGGTTTACTCCAGTTTAGGTGGGGTCCGAACTTGGCCTTACAGATCACTGGAGATCACTCATGTAAGGACGGGTTTAGAAAAACGTTTCTTCTCCCTTGGATTTCGACAGTCTGGGAGCGTTTGTTTATTTTTAACAGATTGCTACTGCTACGCTGCAGACCTTTTCCTGTTGTGATCATTAGAACTTTTAACTGTATCATAAATCTTTTATTAACATTCGGTATTACACTAATTAAAACTGTTCCATATATGTATTATTAATTTCTCCAGCACTTCTTTTGAGGGTGACGTTTTTAGCTGGCTTAGCAGAACACGCCATAGTAAATAAGGAGAAACTCATTTCCAGGCAATTAGGCTTGCAGAAAAAGAAGTTTCTTAATGGAGGGCACGATCATTACAAATTTTACCTAAATAAACAGGGTTTCTTAATGGTAACTCTTCAAGCTAAGTAAACAGATTGGTGTGGTAATGTCCTAAGCAATACTTAAATGTAACTGTTTAATAAATTGGTAAATTACTCATTTCATCTTAGAACAAATGGTAATACTGTAGTAATAACCTAGTATATATTCTGTAAATATGAAGCATTATCACTTTAGCTCTGAAGAAATCACCACAGTGATATGTCAGCATTGATCTAAAACTGCAGCATTTTATCTCAAGTTTATTACCCATTTTTGAGAATCGCTGAGATTTTCAGAGCATAATGGCAATAAAAGAAGAATTTAAAAAGCGCTTAAATGTGCATAAGTTAATCAGAGGTATCCTCAGGGGGAAAAGGAAATTTGGTAAAACATGAATTATAAGCATCATTTAAACTTACTTTGGACACTAGAGATAATAAATGGCACCATAATTTAGAAATAGCTTTTAACATCAATGACTGTAAGTAGCACTTTACTGTTCATAAGAATTGCAAAGCAACGGTGCTGAGGCCAATTTTATTAGCCATTTTTTTCTTTATAAAAGCAATCCAACCATTTCCAAACTGAGCAGACAGGAACAAGAGTTACGTGCTAATATGCAAAACGCATTTTAGTTTTTAAAATAGCCAGCAATAAATTTACCAAAAGATACAGTCTGGAGACAATTGAATGATCGTTTAAGAAGAATAAAGCTTTCTCAGAGTTTACATATTTGGGAAAAGCGGATGGGGGGGAGCCGAGGGGGGAGAAAATTGTTCATACATTCCTATTTACGGGGGAATGTCGCGGCACTTCCGAACCCAAGGGGAGCAGCAGTAAATCTTTAAGGAGGTGCTGCTGGACGAACAAGGCTTCTCCTTACTAACTTTTCATGACTGACAAACCGTCTAAGGATCTCAGCAGTGCATGCGATACTATATTAACACTTCTTCTTTCCAATGACAGGACATCCAACAATGCATCTTTCAGAGCTATCAATTATGAGCCCTCGCACCGATAAATTTTGGTCGGACGAGACAACGGCCTCTTTGAATGAACAGCAATGCATCCATTATTCTGCTGGGCGCTTCCTCGCCGCTGCGCTAAGGGGGAGAGCAGCAGCCCAACCTCATCGCTGGGGAAGAGCGACCTGACCCCTCCGGTGTCCGAGCGCGATATATTTTTCTGACAAACGCTTCACCTGTCTATATGTCGGTGGACAGCAAGCAGAGTAGGCGTGAGATGGACTTTGCCATAACTTCCTTATACTCCTGCTTACAGGACTTGCAACCGCGCTATGCTCCAGAATTAAAATTTATTTTAATCATTTTCAGAGTAATGTCATAACTCAAGAGTAAAACAGTGGAGAAAAATAATTTTGAGACATCCCACATCTGAAGTATCCTACGTCCTCAATACTCGACGTAGCCTTGCTTATCCGAATGGTTTGTTAACTCTGAAACATGCCCACGAGAAAGCAAATCTCTATATTTTAATTATTTCACGCCTGACCACTTTAGCTTAATCAAGATCTAACCACAGTCTTTATCCCACATGGTCAAAGCGCTTTCTCCAGGCTTTCAGAGCTGCTGCGAGTCTTAACTCTCCAGTTTGCCCCCCAACAATTTCTAGCACGTGGTTATGCACCATCCCTAACGTTAAATTAAGAAGCTACTTGTTTTTTGGTAAAGCAAGAGTAAAGTCAGTTCAATCATTTCCCAGGAAAACAAATTCAAGCCAGGCTGGTAACAGGCTTGTGCTAATTTTGTGTTCATGTCAGACAGATTAAGTCAACCACTTGAATAAGAGCCTCAGCATAAAACTGAAGCCGTGCAACAAAACGCGTAAGAACAGGGAAGTGTCACACTGACTCCCGAGAACATCCTCTGGGCCGGGACCTCGTCCCTTAGCCTGCAGCTAAGCACGTTACCAGAGGAAGATGCGAGAAGTTTCTGTTTAAGCAAACAGAGGATTGGAGTGTCTCCTTTTGTTAAGGTGAACAGAGGGAAAAGCAGGAGCCGAGGCAAATCCGAGGGTCCTGCACAGGAAGCCCAAATCACAGTGTCAAGCCAACAGGCGTGCCACCAGTTCCCAAGGCTAGAAGCTGGAATTAGACAAGTTCAGGCCAAAAAATGGGAGCAAGATATCTATTTTTACTGTGCTCTTCAATTCAGGGTGGATTCTCCATCGTTAGGAATGTTTCTCTCAAGAATGGACCGCTTTTTAAATGATGTTTCAGTTCAAAAGGGCTTTACTCAGGAGAAATGTAAAGCCTGTTATTAGACGCCGAACTAAGATAAATTTGTCATGGAATAACTGTGTTTTCATTTACTCGTCATATTAAAAAGCAGATCTCTAAATCCCTCAGGCTGATTTTTTTAAGCGTTCAGGTAAATCTTACTGCCATTTGAAGTGGACATCCTACGACACAGGAGGTAGGTACCAAAAAAATGCAACATCCATAGACTCATTGAAATCGGGCAACACGTTTCTAGCTAGAGGACTTGCGTGCTGCGCTCCACGCACCGGGAAGGCTCGGCTGCGGAGGAGTCCTGCAGCCCTTCCTAAAACCGGCTGAGCTCCTGCGTGACAACCCAGAGCGGAGCGAGACTGCGGGAAGCTGCCAGGCTCTCCGGAGACCTGCACCGTTCCCGCGAAAGCCGGGGATCTGCACACCCTGCAGCTCCCGCAGCGCCATCTCCGCCAAAATGAGCTCTGCCCTAAAACACCGGACACCAACATGAGCAAAGGGTAGCTGAAGTTTTGAATACTTCATCCGCTTCACTTTTGCACTAATATAGGAACATTTCCAACTACTTTTTTTTTTTCCTCCCATGTTAATAAGCGTTTCGGACTATTGCACCAGAAACAGGCATACGATTTTAATGCAATTATAAAATAAGTACCTCTCTATTCTGTTCTTCGCATACTTACTGCATCTGCGAGGAGCACGAGCAGGAGGGATCATCCACCGCACAAACGGCCCAGCATCTGCAGAACGGCCTTCCAGCTCAGCAAAGAGCACGGGCACGCTGGGCGCTGCTAGGTGCAACCCCGCTCAGCGAAACCCGTACGGATCACCACGAGCTTTAAGCTTCAACTGGAATCCGGCCGCCCTTCGCGAGCTACAGGCGTACAGCTGTCAGTCTAGACGTGCGTTTGCACATGCAATCAGAAAAACTAAACGCCTGCGGTTATGAAGATTAAAACTCAAACCAGAAACGTGCACTGAGGCATTTGGCAACAAGCACAATTGTTAAACTGCACCCACGAGCCCGATCTTCCGTAAATCAGAACGGCTCTGTGAAGGCGCTGTCCCGGCGTACAAGCAATTATCAACGTGCACAGAAAAGAGACGGGCGCAGCAAACACCGAAACGCGCCAAGCTCCTTGTGCGGAAGGAGCCACCCCAGATCAGACCGGTTCTGTCATTTGTAGCTGAAACAGATCGAGAGAAGAAATAATTCCGCGTAGTTGCTCCAGATTCTCCCAGTTACCAGTCTGGCAGCACCAGTCTGAGGCGAGCCGCCAGCGTTTGCTGCCGCTGTTCTGAACTGGCTCTGGCCTCTAAACTACAACTGACTGTTGCGCCCCTGCTCAGTTAGCGCAGACATGTGAGGCTGGATGCTCAGCTGCTTTCAATCACTCCGAGTCCGCTGACTTCACGGTAATAACGATGCCAGTTGGGATCAAGCCCCGCTGTACAATAGTGACAGTCAGACTTCCCAAGCCAAGCGCCGAGCAGTGCAGCTGAGCTCTCCCGCTGCCTGCTGCGGTCAGGAAGAGCTACAGGTGTAGGATTTGGCTCGGCCGCTTGATTTTGTTCTCGGATCTACAGACAGTCTCCTCATACGCGTTTGAGCACTCTGTGAAGCATCACTAAAAAAATCCAATCAGGGTGCAAAAAAAATTATCTTAATACAGCTGACATGTATCGTTTTTTAATTTAAAAAAAATATAATGCCCTCTAACATAAGTGAAATCCATCAAGGGTAAAAATTGCAACCCTTCCGCAGCTACTGGAAGAGCTGGCAGGTTTAAGCCCCACTCCACGTCCGTCCCTACCCCTACCTGGGGGGACCACGGGCCGGCACCTCTCCTTGGCGACGTGAGGCGGCGGAGCATCT